ATTATTTAATATTAATTTAGTATTAATATTTATAGTTTAGTTTGTAGTACGTACTCCGACGTCAACGTAACAACTAAATAATTATATATTATATATATATTATATATATATTTATTGGTCTGCTGGCACGGGATTCTACCACTAAAACATGTAGTATCATTGGATCAATGTGGCAAATTTACTTTTTTAGGTGTTAAACATTAATATCAAATGATTTTCTATGATTTTGAAACTGTTAATTCTTTTAACTCGCCTAGAATAAAATTTAATAAATTAACTCCATAGTAGAGAAGTATTTCTGCCTACAAACAAGCATAAAAAAAAAAATTGTGTGTATAGTTTATTCAGCTCCTAACAATTTTAACAATAAAATATGGAATAACTATAAAACTATTCTCTAATTAATCTGTGCTTCAACAAAAACCAATTCAACTTTTAAACTTGTTTTCAAATATTGAAATGCAAATAATTGTAGCAGTTTCTCTGCACTCTTTTCAACAATTTCTTTCTCCTAATGAGGAAACTGAAACTCATCAAATACACTAAACGAGAGTTGAAACACTGCGTGTTCAATCATTTGATTTATATCCTAGCCGGCATAACTTGAAACACAGTTAAATATTGGTAAACAAATTTCTTCATCAATTCATTTTTTCTAGTATGATAACATCATAATTATAAGTTTAAGAAATGTAAATTTGTAATACAGCAACACTTACTTAAATTTTACTTTATTAGGCAGTAGTGGTACTGCGTTTCAAGCTAATAAAATCTTTGGGCAGGATTACAAACTTCTTGGGTCCTGAATGCACACTAATTTAGATGAATCTTAATTATTTATAGAAAGTCATTTAATAGCTGTGGTTCCGAAGTTAATTTTTATTGAGTCAGTTTTAATTATGCTTTGAGAAGGTTAAGAGTAACAATTTCTAATAGGACACAAGTCTAAAGTAACTTACAGAAAAGTCTGAGTAATTCTTTGATTTCTAATATGAATTTGGTATTTGCAAGACATATTGCATGGGTATTATGAGTATCTATAGAATTACTATTATATAGTGTGGAAATTAATGAGTCTTCATATATTCTTAAAATTTTAAATATCAGTTCTGGTTTTTGTTCTTTCTATATATATTTTGTAAGTGTGATGGAAAGTTCATTTTGAGGTAATTTATTTTTTTGTTCCAACATTGATTGGACTTTGTTCTTTATGAAGGTTTATTATGAGAGAACTTTTCTATATTTTGTTCTTGCGTTGATCAGTGATTTTTAGGTAAGATAGATTTTTCTTTTTTTGCAGGCAGATCAATTGACTGAAGAACAAATTGCAGGTACGTGTAAGCTAATTAAAAATGTTTGCAAATTATATATGTACATACACTTGTACTATATATATATTTTAGAGGAAATATGAAAATTTATTCATAAGAGAGTATATTTTTTACAAGAATAGAGGAAGGGAAGAAGGATAATTTATTTAACAAAAGAAACAAACTATGAACACAAGGTTTACATCTTTCCTAGCTTATCAAAGCTGAACATTTTCTAATAATGAAACATTAGTATGTATTACGTTGAATAGGAACTATATTTACATACTATTAGTAAATTCTAGAAATAGAAATAAAATGTACCATATCTGTAAACTTTCTTAAAACCCTTACAAATGTTCAACAAATTAAACAAAATTGCATTAAAGTTGATTAGGTTTATATGTCGACAACTTATTTCAAGAAACAACTTTATTTTCCCTAGTATTAGAACACTTATTTAAAAAAAAATTCTAAGGTGGTAAAATTTTAAAGAATGTCTAGTGAACAGCCTAGTGTTTCCCAGTTTTTTGCAGAACTGTTTACCAAGGTCACCAGAGAAAGTAATGTTTGTATGTAGGAAATAAGGATGAATGTCTTTCATGTATTGTAATTGTTAATTATAAGCCTTCCAGTATTAATTGTAAACAAAATTCCTGTCATTGATTAGAGAAGGAAGAAAGAAAGAAAGGAGTCATTCCACCTACATGTTACAATACATGTCATTTGTCTAAGAGACAAAAGACATAAATGTAGAATATAATTTCTAGAACTTTGCTTTTATTTAACTGATAATGCAATCAATACAGTGTCATTGGCAGCCAGTGTTGGCACATATGTTTTGCATCTGAGCTGCACATATATACTAGTTCATGTATTTTTAGGATTTTCAACATTTAGCAATTAGGATTTTACAGGGTAGTGTGTAGAATACCCCAAGTATACAAACTGATATTGAAATTGTAACTTGCTTTAATACTTTCACAGACTATTTCTTAACTTTTGTAATTTTTATTATTGGCCTCACTGCAGTCAGAAGCAGTGCAATAATATTGTATTAATTTAATTCTTGTTACTCTGAATGTGTGACTGAAGGTTTACGAGTTAAAGGATTATGTATATTTGTGTGTATATCATTTTAGTTGTTTTAGATTTACTGGTCCAATGGGCAAAGTATTACAGTAAAACTTGTTGCCCCATCCAGTGTGGCTTTCACTGTTGTCCTCCCTTCTCCTTCAGGAGTCTTCTCATTTGGAGTGACTAGTTCATCTCCGTTTCAGTCTTCCTCAGTTTGTATTAGAGCGTCTGTGTCTCCTTAATTTCCTGCACAAGAGAGATTAACACTCATATGCAAGTTTAGGTACCCATCATGAGTGGAACATTGTGTGACTGTGCTTGGTGACAGCCAATCCTACAGATACTCTGGTTGAGCAGTCTTGCATTCTGCCCATGTATATGACACTTTAGCATCATGCAAAAGGTTCTTTTGCTCTCTTGAACAAAGATGCACATGATGGATGTAGTCTTACACCAATTGGATCCCATCTTTGTAATTTCTGTATCTGCACTGGCCCCTCCACTATCTTCAGTGTGGGATTTGATATATTTATCATAATTAAGAAAATTAAAGAAAGAAAGTCTTTGCTATGAGTGGTAACAAAAAAAAGCAAGTGCAAAAATGCTGTTACTCCCTAAGAATAAATGCATCTCAATTAAACAGTGCCAAGGAAATCATTGGCCTTTGTTCGAATGCTAATGTTCATGGGGATTGTTGTACACAGTGGACGTCTCACCATCTTGTGGGTGGTGGGTTACAGTATAATAATGATTACATCAAAGGCTGGCACAATACACCTTAATATGTGTTTGAGTGGGAGCTTCATTCAAAGCTTGAGGAATGCTTAAAAACCTTCACAGCAGTAGTGTGAGGTAATGGTTATTTGTGGTGCAGAGGTATCTGTTTAGAATACATTTTCAGTAAGGAAAATGTTGACTTAGGAAAGAAAGGATGACATAAAAGGCTAATCTGTCCTTTGATTTGTTACTTTTGCTGTAGTAGACAGGTTTTGCTGAATTTACAAATCGTGGGCACTTGTATAATTGGTCCACTGAATAATAACAGATAACTGTTTTGGTGTGTCAGATATTTTCCAAACCACTAAACAAAGTATTTTAGGTTATTCATCATGAGGAAAGGACTATATGTCAAAACCAAACAAAATAACTTTTCTCTGATATTGGTGAAAGAAATATTCTTGTAAAAATGGCATGGAAATTAAAAATGTGGTAGACTTTCAGTTTGAGGTAGGCCTACAAAATTTGTTCTTTTATACACTATATTTTTTTAAATTGGGATGTTGATTCTGTTTAATGATTTGACTTAAAAGATACATGGACTGGAAGAAAAAATTTGATATGGAATTCTGGTTTACTTTAAACAAACTGGTCTATTTCATCACTTCATTTAATTTGAAAAATCAGAATTTTCAATGCATCAATTTTGGAAGTTTCATTCAAAAACTTGGAAGTCTCAGAACAATACTGTATGCTAAATGTTGTAACTTTTCACATTGAAACACATTGCATATTCCAAACCTGTTCCTATGGATGGAACATTTATTTACTTTTTGACTTATCTGTGTATGTGTGAAATATTGCTCAAAACATATCTATATAGTATTATGAATGGTGCTGTTTATTTCCAAATATGTCAAGGAGTTAGAACAATAGGCAAATGAACATACAATGTCTCACTATACTGATGGTAGAGATGCATTAGCAAGGGTTGTGATTTACTCTGGCAATCATTACAGGTGAACTACAAGGATTCAAAAGTAAACTTATATTAAGCCAATATCAAAATTTTATTTAAACACTGACAAATCTTTTTAAGGTTGCAATAATAAAATATGGTTGGTCAGAAACTAAAATTGTTTTAGGCCTATGAGCATATGGATCAAAGCATGAATATTCTGGGGACTTTCACATATTCAGTGTTTGGTCTACAAAGGAAAATTTGTAGAATATAATATGCTGGGAAGTCCACTAATGGAAGCAGTGTAATTAATATCCATAAAAATGTTAATGTGACTTGTTAAATAATATGTTTAAGCCAAATTTTTAAGATATACTTTTAAAAAGTTTACTATACATGACGTGTGGTCAATACATTTTTAAAACCATTTGTATATGCCATTTTTATGTAGTAGCTTAATTTTCCTCCTATAGAATTCAAGGAAGCTTTTTCCTTGTTTGACAAAGATGGAGATGGAACAATAACAACTAAAGAGCTTGGAACTGTGATGAGGTCACTTGGCCAAAATCCTACTGAAGCAGAATTACAAGATATGATTAATGAGGTTGATGCAGATGGTGTGTATTTTCTTAGTGAATGGTGAAATAATGTTCTGCAGTAAAATAACTTCTGAATAGAAGTAAACCAAATGTTTGAATTGAAGTAACAGTTATAAAATGGGTAAATTCAACTGTAAGTTAGTCATTGTGGTTTTATTTGAATTATTAGATTGTAAGCTTGAACATATATACAGTTAACTCCAAGTATGGGCATGGCTCTTCTGCATGTCACAATGTTTTACAGCTTCATAGTTACTTTCAACATTTAAATATCTTTATTATTAACATATACCAATAGAATTAGAATCAGGAGGTAGTGTATAATTCAAATTCTTATATTATTTAAGTGTTAATTTCTAACTTCTAAAAAAAAAAAAGTTAAAAACTTACGATCTTCTCGGGGATATGCGAGTGTTCTCAGTTTTTACCTGTTAGTTTATATAACTTCAACAGTAAAACATGTACACTACATATGTTATGTACACATGATTTGTAAGTAATTCCAAGATATAGTGCACACTTTCAATGTCCTAACTTCTCAATTTAATGAAATATCAATAAATTTTCCCAACAGAAGCCTCATCTATCTTTCATTTTCAAGGCAATTTTCAAAATTGTAATCATAGTTAAAGTGCATGTTTATAACCAATAGAAAGTGCTTATTTTCAATTTCAAGCTTGTGATGATCCTTTCAGAATTGATAGCAACTGACTTTAATAAGAGTAGAGGTCTTGAATGTGTGATCTATTGCTAAACAAAATTAACACTCATAGCATTTAACAATGTTTTTTTTTACCTAGTTATATCTTAGTTAGACAATTAAATTATAGTTATTTTTTGGACATTTTATTTTAGTGAATTATGTATATGTTTTAAAATGAATATTTGAAAGGTGAATGGATTTTTTTTCATGAAAGATGTTAGAGAACATTTTAACAATGCTTTGCTCACTAAATGACAAGGTAGAACTTTACACATGCAACAGGTAGGTGTATGGAAATCTGTTAATGGCTTCTTACTGTGTTGTGGTGCTTTTTAGAGTTGAATAATTTGTACATCAAGGCAGGTAATAAAACTATAAAATTTAAACTAAAGTATATGTGAAAAAATAAACATTTGGTTTTGTGAATAACTTCAACCTAAGATATGGAAACAAATTGTTTTGAATGAAGAAGAATTAGTTATGTTAATTTTATTTCATAATTTTCAATATTTTATTTCTCTTACATTGATTCAGATAGTTAGTGTTAGGGTAGAGGAGAAGTTAAGAGATGAAATATATATTCTTATGTTGAAATCCTTTGATATTAATTTAGGAAGTTCTAGAGGTTAAGCAAATGAAATCTGGAAGCTGTATGCACACAGAGTCAAAACAACTCCAAAAAGTTTACAGGCAGATTTTTAGTAAAAAATACTTTATTAAATAATCTGATTTTTTTGTGTACAAACAGATTTATAATGTCTACTAAAAGAGTGCCATATGATGATGAGGAACCAACTTTTTAGAAGATAAAATGTTGGAGGTGGCTTGAATGTATAACGTTTTGACAAGGTTATGCCATCATTTATCATTACCCATTCAAGTTGTCTCCAAACATTTATAGTATGTATAGTTCCATGGTAAGGTGATAGTTACAGGTTGGAAAAAATGACCAAGTCTGTATGTAGAGGGTTAAAAGAATAAAAAATTGGCAATTTTGTAATGTATTTATTAATTTTTTTACTTATTATAATTTTGTGTAGACAAGAACTGATATATTTATTTACCAAATATCTGAGTTAAGTAGCAAGTCAGTTAAGATTTAACTTTTAATAATATTTACAGGATACTGATTTTATAAAAATATGTATGTATTGATATAATCTTTAGGAATGCAATATAAAACAAAAATATGTTTAACAATCTCTGAGTGTATTAACAGAGATATTTTGTTACAAACAAAATGCAAAAAGCTAAACAGACATCTATAGAATGGAAATAATTTGCACAAAAATATCCAGAGTATTTTGAAAGGGGAAAGAGATGAGGGCTTTTCAGAAGTTAGGATAGTCTTTCATTTTGTATACAAATTTATTATAGTTAACCATTATTACTGTTCAAAGGAAAAACACCTGTTGAGTTATTTAAACATCAGAAATCTGTTGAATAAAATAAAATTTGTGTGGATTTTATAGGTTATCGTAATAAAAATGTTTGTTTTGAAACACTAAATTTTCATTAAGTATACTTAGGGGTCTAAAATATGAAAGATTAATATCCTAGTTGTTATATTTTTGCACAGAAAGTAATTGTATTTTATTTTGCAAAACCTCTATTTCACACTCCTTTTAAGAGTGTGTGTGTGTGTGTGTATGTATGTGTGTATATATATATATATATATTAATTTGTAAGCAGTGTAATCTTCTGGTGATTCATTTAATTTTGGCATGTTGCTTTTCATTTCCTGTTGCATGTAAATAATTTTTTAAAAAACTTTTTTGTTTGTTGTTTAGGAAATGGTACTATTGATTTTCCTGAATTCCTCACAATGATGGCAAGGAAAATGAAGGATACAGATAGTGAAGAAGAAATCAGAGAGGCCTTTAGAGTATTTGACAAAGATGGTAATGGTTTTATTAGTGCTGCTGAACTTCGCCATGTTATGACAAACCTTGGTGAGAAATTAACAGATGAAGAAGTAGATGAAATGATCAGAGAAGCAGACATTGATGGAGATGGACAAGTAAATTATGAAGGTATGCATTTACTCATTAATTAGAATTCAGAAGTATTTTAAACAATTATAACAGTTAAAAAGTAAAATGGTATTTTTCAATAAAAAGTAATTAATAGAGAATTTCCTGAAAATATGTGCTTAGTTTATTTTCCATGGACAATAACAGTATATTTTTCAAATTTTATTTCTGAAATCAGAACCATAAACTAATTCTAAACCATTCATTTTCTATATGAGCAAACTTGGTATACTGCTAAAACTTTTCATGCCTGTTAACTCTGTAGGTTAGATATAGGTTTGACAGTTAATACACAAGGTAAGTGCAATGTCTTTTGACTTATTCATTGAAACCAAAGTTTGATTCTGCATTAGACAACTGTTTGGGTGTAAAAAGAATGCCAAAATTTTTTTAACTTCCTTTTTGATGTCATAAAATGGCTATAGAAACACCTCAATCACACTATCAAGGTGTTACAAAGATTGAGATGCAGCCAATCAAGCCAGTTAAAAACGTTCCAGATATCCCTGACCAAGTATTTTCATGGCCTTCCCTTTTTTGATTTAGTTCTTCACTTAATATACTTGCATTATATATTATGTCATTTACTAGTTAACTCATTCTGTACATTTTCATTATGGCATATTCAAAGCTAGTGGCAGGTAAAGTTTAGTACATTCTGTGCTTAGTGTCAATATTCTTTTAAATTAGTGTTAAAATAAATAATTTCATGTTAATAAAAATCGTAAACTTAGTTTGAATGGGTAATGACTTAAATATGTTCTATGTATGATGTTAAACTGCTTCCAACAGTAGGACAGTATGTTGTCTGGGTAACAGTAAGACAAGTACTCTATAGCTATTGTAGTCTCTGGATTACCCTAAAGCAAAGTGTAGCACCCATTAGCCTTCCTTACCAAGGTTACAGTTAAAGCCCTGTGGATTATCTCATCTGATGGATGCCTGGTGTAACTGGAACAATGATAGAGGAGACTTGCTCAAATTAGTTGAGTACTGTAACCTACTGCCATAGGTTGTCAAGCATAATTTATGGTCTTTCATGAATCAAGGAAAAAAAAAACACAAATGAATTAAGTAATTTCATTCAAATTAAGAGAGGCGTGAGGCAAGGCCGTGTTTTCATCTGTCTTGTTTAACTTGTATAATGAGAATTCTTAAGTAGATTGAAGATTTACCATTGGTAGACAGAATTTGAACAACTTGTGTTATGCTGATGACAGAGTTTTAATAGCTGATTCAGAAGAGAAGCTGCAAAAAATTTGATGAAGTTGTTAGTGAAAGGAGAAAAAGTGTTTAAGTATCAATTGTAGGAAAACAGAATGCATGATAATTACAAAGAAGATCATTTCTGTATGTAATGTCAAAGTAAGTAGAGAACAAGTCAATAAACTCAATTATCTGGGAAGCTGGATAATGTCAGATAGTAAATGTGATCATAAAATAAAACAAAGAATAGGGATGGCAATAAACACATTTCTGAAAATGAAAAATATACTGAGAAATAATAAAATTTCTATGGGAACAAAGTTAAGAGTTTTGAATTATTATGTTATACCAGTTCTCGCATATGCTTCAGAATGTTGGACAATAGTGTCAAGTATGGAAAAGAAAATTGAAGCAAGTGAATTGTGGTTCATAAGGTGCCTCTTGAAGGAATGTTGGAAAATTCACACCTCAATTGAAGGTATTTTGTCAAGGACAGGTTGCAGGAGGAAGCTGCTGACTAACATCAGAAAGAGATGGAGTTTCTCAGACACATTAGGAGGAAATAAATTGAAACTGGTCGTAACTGGAAAGAGAGACCATTGAAGACAGAAGTTGACTTGTGTTGAGAGTCTATCTAAATGGATGGCTGTATTGACATTGGAAATTTTTTGTGCCTTGAGGAATAGAGATCTGTGGGAAAACCATGGTCACCAAAGTCCTGTTTGGATATTGTACCAAGAGAGACAAAGAGAGAATGACTAAAATAAAATTGATAAAAATTACTATTCACCAACTTAATCTTTTTCACACCAAAACATTTGTTGTTTAAGTAATTGGTAATGTAAATGTCTTGACCACCAATGCTATGCTGTATCCCCACTGTTCTGATGAGCCCTGGTATTGGTGAAAGGGCTTCTTTGTCACTGGATTTAAAAAAAAGGTGAAGTGTGGTTGACACTTTACATATTTTTTTATTTCACTCGTATGTTCTTTGATTAGAAATTGTCTCATAACACTGTTTTTTCACACCTTGCTTGACATAGTTGAAAATCTTAAACCGTGATTGAACTGTGTTATAATACCATTCCTGGAGTAAAGATTAACATCAGATGCTGTTTTGTAGAAAATTGACTATAGAAATATTAAAAATAATACAGGGTCTTTCATATTTTGCAAAGTCATAACTTATTTCATATAAGTACTGAAAAACAAAAAAACCTACATGCATGATAGAGTGATAATTGTTTAAGATTTCAATATAATAATTGTATCGGATAAATTAGTACTTAATGATTCATATACTTAAATATCTCAGTTTTATCCATGTGCTATACTATGCAAGTATTGTCTAAGCCATGTTTAAGTGTTTGCTTTGAAAAAACAAATCTTGTTAGAAATGAGTAAGATTACACCTTGTTCTAATATCACTTGATTGAAAAATAGTTTGTGATTTGGCAAATTTAGGCAAGGAAAATCTTAATTAATTTTTTTCCACTTAAAAATGACAGTATAAACAGTCCCCCACTTATCACTCAGCAGTTACTATACCATGTACAGACTGAAGCTGTCAACGCAGACTACTGAAAGAGAAGGTTGTTTGTTTATAGTAGAAATCTAAATATTTATATGTGAAACACCCATTAATTATTTCTTTTAAACTGAAAATGTTTATTCAGTTCTTGTATGTTTATTTGTATAGTGGGAACATAAGTTAGAACTATGAGAACAGAGTAAGTAATAGACACAAAGAACTAACTTATTTTTGAGCCTAATATTAGTAATAACTTGGACAACTGTCTTTTGTCAAGACTCTACAGTAAAGAAATGGAATTGTAATGCATACGTCAAATGTATGCTCTGATGCACCATATTTTTTTACAACACGTGTTTTAAGTACTATTTTTGTTTATCCATATCAAATTTATTATGTTTGGATATGAGGAAAGCTGTTGAACTTATACAAGAGTATAAGTGTAAACAATATTTTACTATTCATCACATCACTTAAAAATACAAATTTTTTCTGTGAACCATTTTATCTGAGAAACCAAGCATTCCAAGGTATCTTTTGTTCTAATCTTTGAACATTGTATCCAGGCAAGTTTTTCTATTGAAGTTTTATTAATATCCATTCAATGGTTCTTAACTTTTTTTTTGCTTAGAAAACATTACATTAGTTGGAGTAATTCTTAATTGTCAGTGATAACCAGTGCAAATTGGATATTAAAACCCCAAAAATTTTGGCTTATGTAGGTACAATTCAGTATAATGTGCATTGGTCCAAGTTGTTTAAATACTGAATGCTGATGGTTGTAAAGCCATAAAGAGTTATCAAATATTGAATTTTTGATGCATTATTTATAGTGTTAACTAGCAAATCATTACTCAAGTTCTCTTTTAAACTGTTAGCTAGTAGTAGTTAGGACTTGTAAGATCCTATCTTTTGTCATGTTAAAGGAAAAAAAAAAAAGTTTAAACGCACACTGTAATGCAGATATGAAGCAAGAATATATGATTACTTATGTCAGTAGGAAGCTAATGAAAAACATTTTGGATGATTTTTAATGAAGTGTTTAACCATGATTAAAAGCTTGAACAAAAGCTGGGAACAGACACCAGTATAACTTTTTAAAAAAGCACTGTTTTATTCCTAACAAAGAAGAAAACAAGTTGGTAAAGGCTATTTTTTCTTTTATTTATAATGATAAAAAAGAATATAAAAATATTTAAGTGCACTTTGTGTGTGAATGCTTAATTTGTCTACTTTTTTTTCCAGAATTTGTCACCATGATGACATCAAAATGAAAATAAAAAAAGCCTCCTGTGAACCTTGTAATTAAAATGTTGAAAATATTTCTACTGGTGTTCTGCTTTTCATTTTAATAATTCGTGTTAAGGTAGATTTAATACCCGTTTGGTCTTGGTGTTTTTCTTGTAAAAAATTTTGTACCATATTCCACAAGCAAAACTTTTAGATCATCTTAATCCAAGCTTTTTGTACAAATTTGGTTTGTCACAAAAAATTTTAAACTTACTGTTTTTTTTGTGTTTTTTTTTTGGGGAAGGGGGTAATTTTGAACAAAAGAGCCTACATTCCACATCTTTGCAGGTTGTTTACCAGCATAAGTTTCGATGTAGGGCTGAAGTTCTTTCACCCTAGTCACTAGACCACTTGGAAACACTTACTTGCTCATTTGTGTATTAGCTATTTGGAAGTTCAGCAGATGTACATTTTCACCTCTAAAAATTTAATGTTAAGAAGTATCCATACCAATCATCTATTGTTGTATCAACATAGTTTACAATAGAATATACAATTTATTACTTGTATGATTCCATAAGTTGTTTGTGTAGTAAACACTGGTTTTGAAATATTTTTGAACTATTTGCTCTTAATTCCTATTATGATGAAAATTATATGAATACAGTGTATTCATATGTCATATTTCATAATTAGATTTAGTAAAATTAGTTAATGATCATAGTTTATGCAAAATTTTGCATTTTCTTTTATTAGTGTGTTGGGAGGGTATCTACAAATTTAAATTTTCTTAAGTTTTATTGTATTGAAAAGAAATGTTAGAAAAAAAAATATATATATATATATATTTGAAAATTACATTATGTTGCACTATCTCATAAGAAGCACTTTGTATGAGAAATTTTAACCTTTTCTTTTTATTGCTCTGAACAGTGGTAATCCAAGACTAACAATAAAGAATTGTTACCAAAATTGTTGTAAATGTTTGGTTATTTGGTGTTTGCCCGAACTTTGGTTGAGTCTAGTTATTTACACAATTAATACTCTAAAAAAAAATCTATTCTTTTTTTTTCATTATTAGTGTTAACATAAATGCTTGCTGTATAAACTTTTAGTTTTGCTTTTGTAACAACTAAAAGTATTATGAATATGAAGTTTTCACAATTTTATAAAATATATTTGAATAGCATATTTTGACATATCTACAGACCTTTGAATAGAATATACTAGTAGAAATACCGCCATAGGGCAGCTGTTTGTGCTAGTAATTAGTAATCTAGTATTCATGCCTCACTGTAAAAAAAGTGAAGATTTTCTATTAAGTTTTTTTTTGTCTGGGAAATTGCATGGGAAATGATTCGATGTGGAGCTCAAAATTTTCATAACTTTTACCGATATGAATTGTAATTAAATTATATATTAAAAGTGCTGCCTTTTATTGAACAAATAGTTTTTAAGAACTCCAGATTTTTAGTACTACATTTAAAAATTACATCAATAATGATATAATGAAACCTTAAGTACAGTCCTAGTGAAAGTCGTGTTCAGTTCTTGCTGTGAAGAGAGTGCTTGTATGTGAAGTTGTATTCCGTTTAAAAAAAAAAATAGTTGTTGTACCTTCCAGTTATTTTTCTAACTGTCTGAATCTTGAATATCCAAAATGTGGAATTATTTTATGGATTTTTGTTTGTGTTGTCATTTAATAGATGGCGCCACATTTGATAAGCTTCAATCACCACTTCTGGCATTAAGATGTATTTCAGCAAAATTGTATTTATTATTTCGTTCTTATATCCATAGACAGCCACGCCATTGCTCCATTATACTAAGATGACCATTATCTTGAGTCAATAGATATGAGCAAAAACGGAATAAAAAGTTTGAATTTAAAAACGTTTTCTGAGTATACCGCTGTTAATTAAAAGTTCCCTGGAATTAGTCATTCACTATTTGATCAACTTCTATATTACATTTCAAAAGACATGAAATTTTGCTAAGAAGCCATAAACATGCTCTTACCATAAAAACCAATTAAGAAGATCTGTTTACAACGACTTTTGTAGCCCAACAACAACAAAAATTAACAAGTCAAACTGTAACGGCTAAAAAAGATACACAAATCAGTGAATAAGCTCTCAGGTAAGTACAAGTCATTTTAGCATCTAACAGAAATGTGCGTGTGTCCAAGAAGATACCTGGCAATGTTCTGTAATTTTCCAATTATAGTTAGGTTATTCAACAACATACAAAAACTTTGAAATTTCATGTTTACGTGTTTGAATATTTGTTTGTCTTGAAAAAATAAAATTGGGTAACTATTATATGTGAAAGCTACAACAAAGTTTGTATGATTAATTTATTTCGTTATAATTGTCAGATTGCCAACTAAGAAAAGCGGAAACATGCAAACAAAATTCTTTTGCTAAAATGTCTCCATTTGCTGATCAAGTTTCTGATGGGTAACCAGTTGGCATGGTTAACTTCTTTTTTATGTATGTTCTAAAAGTTTGTGTTAAATTTGGTCGTATATAGATGTGTAATTATCTTTGGAGTAATGTAGGTAGGGGAGTGATAAACTGGATAAATTTTGAGAAGACTGCCAAAATTATGCAAACCTTGTTGAAGATTTGGGTTTCTGTCGAGATTCATTTCAAAGGGGTGGAACCACCAGTGGATTACATTCAATGTTTAATTTCTGTCAGATTTTTCAAGATCCGGAATATCTTTTAGATTTTATCATCATTTTTAAATCTAACAATGAGAACGTTACAATTTTAGAAAGACCTAGATGTATAGCAAATTTACAATTGGCTGACGTAGTCTCAACTACATTACTCACTTCCATCCCAATTCCAAATAGATGACTCAGTAACATTTACAATGTTACCTTCCATAACTCTGAATTACACTTACCCCTCCGTCGAGAGGGATCTGGAACATTTTATTCTAGAAATTAAGCACTTATTTTCTAAACAGAACTCGTCTAGGAACAACATGACAAATGCTGATAATTGGAAAGAGGTTAGGCCATAAACCATTAAAAACAAAAACATTTTTTTATATCATTATTGACTAGACAGTTTGGGAAAATAAATAAATATTAATATTTTCAAGAGTTACTTTATTATTTGTTATGGAAGCTCATATTTAATATACTTCTTTCTTCGGTTATGAGATTATTTCAAAGAACTTCATATGGAAGGGACATTATTGTGGGCTACACTTTTTTGTCAATTTAAACGTTTGGTCTCCAGGTGGAACAGCGACAAGTTTACAGACTTGTAATGCTAAAATCCGGGGTTCAGTTTCCCGCGGTGGACACAACAAATAGCCCAATGTGGCTTTGCACTAAAACAAACACAAATTAAACGCTTGTATTTTGGTATCGATAGCGCCTGTTTTAAGGTAGAGTAAAAGGTGTGACTTAATGATTATAGAATCTTGTTGATAGCTTTGAAAACGATTTCAGTTATATAAACCCCGAGCTAGGCTAGAGAAGATTACAATTTACTTGTGAGAGTATATGATTCATTTAATAGCCGCGTACCTCATGCAGCTGGAAAATGAAAAAAAAAAGAGTATTCATATTATTCTACACAAAAAACAAACTAAAGTCATCAGACAGACACAATGATTATGATTTTTGAGCTATGAGACTGAAAAAACAGACAGAGAAACCTTAATCCTCCGATAATAGATGGTTTGCGAAAAACCAGAGGGGGAGAAGGGGTGAGTTTCAAACATAACAGCCTACGATAATCTTTTGCAATGGAAAGTACTATGCAGGATTATTAGCCCCCCAGTGGCACAGCGGTATGTCTGCGGACGTACAACGCTAGAAATCGGGTTTCGATACCAATGATGGGCAGAGCACAGATAGCCCATTGTGTAGCTTTGTGCTTAATAAACAAGCAGGAATATTAAGAAGCTACACAGTCATTACATGGAGACAACATAGATAGGTTAAAAATTTGTTTTAAACTACTCAAAACGTGTAATGCTTTTATGACCAACAGCCTCGGGCCCCACGCCTTAGTGGCCGAGTCGATTGTATACTTCTAGCATCCAAACTCCAGAACTTAATCCTGAGTACTCGCCTCAGGTCCCACACTCTCCATAGGCCGATCCTGTTTATAACACAAAATTCTATTTCAACGTCAAAAAGGAAGTCAATAAATAAAAACAAACAAAACCACGAGTGACTTTAGAATTAAAGCTTATTTACTAAAATTATTCAACGAATATTAATAAAACCGACAAAACGAATTTTCGATACACGAACAGCAAGATTATATTTCCTGAGGCTGAAATATATGACAGCACGTTAATTACAAATACAACTTGTTTGTTTGAAGCTGTAGTTTATATTAAATCAAACTCTCCTCACCTGAGAAACACATTTGTTTCTTTTAGTATGTGCATTGTTTAAAGAAGAGAAATGAAAAAATGGGTGTAAAAGTCATTGTTCACAATAAACGAATTTAAAAGACGGAGTTTGAGATGATAGCATTTTCAGTAACTCTGTTAAATAGATCTAATAAAAAATAACTTAGGTGTGGAAAAAAAAGGTGCGGTCAAAAAAGGATTGAGCATGCAACTTAAAGGAATTAAATCAAAATTGGCAGCCAATCTGGTAGCTTCACTTATAGCATTGATAAGAATTTTACAGCAAATATTTATTATTTAGCTAGTTAGGCCACGTTTTTTTTTTGTTTTTTTTGTTGAACTTGGAGCAAGATAGTTGATCAAACAGAATATGCGGCCTAGCTGACTAATGAATGGTATTTGCCGTAAAATTATTATCAGTGCTATAAGTGAAGCTACCAGCTTGGCTGCCAATTTTGATTTAATTCCTTTAAGTCGCATGCTCAATCCTTTTTTCCACACCTAAGGTGTGTCTGATTAAATATCATGACATTTTGTCAGTACACACCAATAAACCACATTAAGTAAGAAAGTGGCCCGGAATGGCCAGGTGGTTAGGGCGCTCGACTCGTAATCTGAGGGTCGCGGGTTCGAATCCCCGTCGCACCAAATATGCCAACCTCCGCATTTGCCTGGTCCCAAGTCCAGGATGAGAAAGGAGGAGGGTTGGGCGCGGGGTTGCGTGATTTAAAATTTTACGACATGGAGAATAGATGATTATCATCCTTAGGAAAATGAAATTGTAAGATAAGATATTATGGAATTGATAGTTGGTTTTTACCGTTGATGACAAACTGGAAACATTAACATGCCAATATGGTGGAAGGCCTGATAATATGGTGCTAGAATAATCTCGCGAAAATATAAGTAATCACAGACTAAAATAAGCAGAAATTGTTGCAATCATACAGATAGATCACATTTTGTTGGTCAGATACATAATACACACGCGCAGTCTAATGTAGAAGAAGTTTGTTTGTTTTGAATTTTGCGCAAAGCTACCCGAGGGCTATCTGCGCTAGTCGTCCCTAATTTAGCAGTGTAAGACTAGAGGGAAGGCAGCTAGTCATCACCACCCACCGCTAACTCTTGGGCTACTCTTTTACCAACGAATAGTGAGATTGACCATCACATATAACGCCCCCACGGCTGAAAGAGGCGAGCATGTTTGGTGTGACGGGGATTCGAACCCGCGACCCTCAGATTGAGAGCCCTAACCACCTGGCCATGCCGGGCCTGTAGGAGAAGTACCAAGAAACGTAAAATTACTTTCAACATCATGGCAAACAATATGCTCGAATTGATGTACTTCTATTATTGGTGCTGCCATCTAGGAGTCGTGAAACCTCATTATCTTGGGTAAACACCAAAAATAAGTAGCAATGTGATACACGTTCTGCAAATATTTACACAGTACGTGCCAATTTCCCATACTAAGTCAAAGCTCAACTTTCTTACTGCACTTAAGGAAGAACAATATAGTATTATGGCAACATTTGACGAAATATTTACAGATCTCATTTACCTAAAGAAACTTCCTTACTGAA